CATAGAGGCCCCCGACGCGTTTGTGGCCCACCTGATCGAGTTCGCCGACCAGGTCTGCTGAGCGTTTCTCCCACATCTTGATCTCCGTTTCCTCTCTCTCACGAGCTCCATACATCGCCACAAAAGGGCATAATCGGGTCATGGCTATCGGTGCGATCGTGCCGCGAAGTCTGCATGTTATGTGTTCACGTACATATGGCCATTCAATTGCTAATGAAATAAACCTAACGTCTAACGCCTCCATTCCCTCTCCGACCTCCATTATTCAGGGCGGAGGCGCTATACTCAATGCGGCCCATGCACGCCTTGCGGGAATCCTCTTCTTACTTCCGGTGGATAGGGGCGATTCTAGACCCTTCTGCAAGGCACGAGGGTTGCCGCATGTGATACCCAGTCTTCGGACTCGGCACGGCCTTAGCGTGGGATTCTGGCCATTGTCTCGGGGCGGACTTCGGGCAACGCAAACTTCTCGCCATTGAGGTTACCCTGTATGGGAGTCATACACTTCCACGTTCTTCGGCGACCGTCTCTTGACTGCGCCGGATTGTGAGTCCACCAACAACATGCCATTCGATGCAGACGCCCAGTCCGCCTTTTCTACATACACCGCAACCGTCGGTGTCCAGTCCTAATTGCTACTTGCTAGTTGAATAGGGATAAACCAATGCGAGACCAAAAGGTAGAGTATTAACGAATGCGAGGTGAATATCCGTAGCCGTGCGAGTGAGATAAACAGATACTGAGTGGAAACAGAGTCGAGCGCGAAAAGCGGCGGATTATACTGTCACAAGGTGCGCCTGTGCGGGGCGCGGTAGTCGGGGGTAGAGCCGGTGTACCCATCGAGGGACCGGGGAGGGGAGATCAAGCCGAGGTGCTTATGCCTGCCACTCGCCCTCGAGGGTAAGGTCGGATCCCTTCTTGCTGGCATAGTCGCCCTCATACGAGCGGTTGTCAAGCATGTCGCGGTGCGTCTCGATCTGAGTGAGGATGTGCGGCGGCTCCACGGGCCTGTTGTTGCGCGACTTGCGGTTGAAGCTGAAGACGGGCGCCTTCTTGCCGCCCATGGACGTGAGGATGGTCTGATCGCGGTCGCGGTCTTCCCTCTTGGTGGCCGAGCGGACGATGATAAGCATGGGGGAGATGGCCATGATCTGCTCGAGCATGCCGTAAAGGGACCAGAGGACGGTGTTCTGGGTCGACCAGAGACCGAGAAAGACGGCCTGAGTGATGGCCATGAGCGCACCGGACTCGACGACGACTTCGACCACAGAGACGTATTTCCTGCTGTTGGACGAGGGCAGGCCCGCCAGACTCGTGTGCATGAGCCAGTAGATGCGGAAGGTGATGAGCGCAGTGGTTGTGACGTTGGTGATCAGCGACATGCTGAAGAGGGCGCTGCCGCACTGCAGAATCAGCTGGAGACCGATGGTCTGAGGCAGCTGGAGCTCGGCCATCTTCACGAGTGCGATGATGGCAGCAACGACAGAGCCGGTGATGGACAAGAGCGAGGGAATGATGATCCAGAACTTGCGGTCCCAGATGAGGTAGCAGCGGTAAGCCTGGATGAATGTGAGTCGGTGTATGTCTCAGGAAGCAGGATACTTACGAGGAGGAGGTCAGCAGCAGCATTGACACAGATGAAGGAGCCTTCGCTCGCGAGCCATAATGGGGCGTTCTCCATCATAAGGAAGAGGTCCGCGCCTCCAACTTGGCCACCAAAATCAATCTGGAACCGTTTTAGGAGACCGTTTCTTCCCTCATCACTATCACTTACGAAAGCTGTTACACATCGTTGTATGGCTATTCCGATGTGAATTGTGCACCCCGCCCACATGAAGAGGGCGGAGCCCAGCATGATGTAGTTGACATTGGGCGTTGTTCGCCGAACTGTCAATGCGTGGATGGCATGGGCGAGAAGGTTGCAAAGCATGCCTGGTTATGTGTTGAGCAACGAGCAAGGCCAGAGGCGAAGAGGCATACCATAGAGGATGGCCTCGAGCATTCCGCCCACCAGGTAGGCCCTACCCAGATCAACTTGCGACATGATTTCGGCTTGAGTATAGATAGGGCGTTGTGCGAGGAGGGACAGTAGAGGGGGGAGACTAGAAGCAGCACGAGGCGTAGGTGAGGCGGGGGATTGTGCAGCTCCAAGGCCACATTGGGCGACATATAAGTAGACCTGCGCCGGAAGCACGGCGCAATGTCGCACAATATTGAGAGTGGATGCTTCCTCTGGAAAGTCCGCGTGAGGCAATCAGGCACTCGCTAGTCTCTTACGCAACGACGGAGGAGCCCAGACACAGAGCAAATGGCAACGCCAGGGGATCTGGGGAGAGCTGAAGCAGCAAAGTCGGTTCTCCATGGCGGAAGCTAGGCCCGCAGAGGACGAGATGCCCATTCCAATTGCCCATTTGTGGCTAGATTATCGGGCGCGCTCTCCGCCTACCCAGCACACAAAGGCGCGAACCCTAGGTGGAATCGCAACGCTCATGTCGAGGGGCGGTGGAGATGTGGCGAGTGAGTATGATACGAGGAGATGACGAGGAGAGGAAGGTCCCTGGCCAAGGGGATGCACGTGCAAGTTGCTCCCGGCAACTCTATCAGGCGCTCCCTGAGGCTCGGCTGCCGCTTCTTTGCCATTGTCCTCCTCCAAGCACACGATGGAGATCGCCCCAAACAATGGCGGCTTCATTTGACAATGGACATGCCTCCGGTGCCCGGATACCTCGTCTTCCCCGAGACGGCGGCGACCGTCGGCTCATTCCAGTCAGTCGGCCCGGCGCGGATCGCTCGACAAGCCTTATCGTTTCACAGCGTGCCCTTGTACGGACGTGCGGGGGTGATCGCCCTCTTCGTCATTGTCCATTATTGCTCCAGTAGCATGGACCATAGGAAACGACCGGCTACATCGGGACAAGATCATCCAGCATCGTCCTCCTTATGGGCAGGCCATCAAGACCGCGGGGCAACCGTCGGTCGACGGCGAACAGTTATAAAACCGAGGGTGCTTTCTTGACAGACGCCTGTCTGCCTCTTCTCTGCAACGAAGAACCGTCGTTCTCCATTGTAGACAACGCCACGGTGAGAAGTGCAGAAGGTTCTAACGATGAGCTATCGTACTATCTGTCGCTGTAATCCCTGCAGGGCGCTCTCTAGCCTGCGGTTTCTCCACCCGTCGTCGCTGAAAACAGATACTCTTCCACCTTGCGAGCCTTCTCTGACCATTCCGACCTTGACAACGATGTGTAAGTCTGCGCCTCATCGTCTGACAATCACGAAGAGGATAGGCGCAGAATGAGCCCGTCTCTTCCCAACCGTTGACTTTCTGAGCTTGATAACAATTCATACGCATGATCAGCAAACGCCACAGTTGGTGAGCATCGTGTACGAGTGAGCAAAGAACCGTACGCTCGGTACAATGCAACGACAAGCTCGTAGGCGGTGCTGAAGCGTCGCCGCGAGCCGTTGCGGGAAGCGCTTCGCCGTTGTTCCTGTGCGCTTCCCGACTGTGGGCCCAAGCGCGCGTCGCGCCTCCTCACCGCGTACTCACCTTAAGGCCTATACGCACTCGCTGGCCTATCATTCGTACAACAATGATGCTAACTCCCTCTTCACTGCATTGTCTGCGCAATGCATGAGCGCTCAGCTCCTCGAGTCAAACCATGGTGACGACGCATACGAGTGGAATGTGGTGTACGATGGCGGAAGGCGAAGGTATAACACGCCGGCAGCGGGCTGTTGGATGCAACAACGACAGAATATGGTCCGACGGGCATCCTCTTCGCGAAGATCATCTAGTAGTCGCTCGTCAGCGAGCAGCCCCGGAGGCTCACCCGTTGGCCACCGCTGTCGCCGCTCGCCCAAGTCGCCCGCGCTCTCAAGCCCCTCCCCGTCTCGCAAGCCCACCCTGCCGCAAGCTCCCAAATGGATGCAACGCGCCGTCTCCCTCTCCTTTCGCACATCCACGAGCTCCGAGCGCGCCGAAGCGCTCGCGATTCTGCACATTGCGTTAGACTGGACGCGCGCGTCGAGCAGCAAGGGCTGGCTCAGACTCCAACAGGTGAAGCTCCAGGGACATGTCGTCCGCCGGCTGTATCGACTCCTGGTCCTGCCCAGGGAGGAAGGATATTCGAGCGACTCTGAGTGCTCACTCTCCGACGAAGTAATCGGCCTTCAAACCATGCGGTGCGAGTTGCCTGCGCTCATCCGCTGGTTGCCCATACCAGCCCTGGCCGACGTCGTTCAGCTCATGGAGCACTTCCTGCCCCACCTAGGCGAGGCGCGGGAGGAAGCCGGGGAGGAATACGAGCTGGACATGGATGAATGGCCTGCGCAGCTCGTCCGCTTGGTGTGGGGGGCGGTGGAGCCGGGTGTAAGAGAGAGGCTGAGGGATGAGTATGCGGCGATTCTGCTGGGAGCAGAGGAGAGGTATGCGCTCAGGAGCAGGAGGTGAGCGCCGCAGCGCGCCTATCCACCGATGCAACTCTCTCTTCACCAACAATTGCTACCCAGGTCTCCTCTGACTTCCCAATTGTATACTGCACATCCTATGCAATTCCCAATCAATTGTATCGATATTGTCCTCCTTCAGGGCTCCAAAAGGGCCCCAAACAACGCTTTCCTCATCATGCAAAGAGCCCCAAAAGGTCATTTTGACACCTGCAGGGCTTGAACCTGCGTCCTTGTTCGATTCCGCCGACTGGACCCCTTCGGGGTCCAGTCGGCGGAATCGAACGGACAAATTCTCTCTCAGGGTCTGAGAAGGGTCTCTCTGCTAGGGTCTGGGGAGGGTCTGCAGAACTGCCTCCGCAATCGGACAGACGTATGCTCTCTGCACACCACAACACTTGCTCGAGGACCTCTTCCTCTGTACGATGCGCATCCTGCGTCGATTCACCTCAGCCCGCCTTCCGACGCTTTGGGAATCCTTCACAGAAGGCGTTGGAGGGAGCCAAACACTGGATAGGGCCTTGAAAGGGAGATAGCCAAAAGAGGAAGCTTGACACCTCCAGGTCTCGAACCTGGGTCCTTCTGTGCACAAATTGCCGGAACAACTGTTAGACAGATGCGCTAGCCAACTGCGCCAAGGTGTCCATACCTGATGACGCTCCGATTTGATAGTTTGACTAGTAGGCCTGAGTGGAAACTGGCTCCGCGCCTCTTTTGGCCGTCCTTCCGGTCATAAGGCCCCCCAGAGAAAGTGCCTCAGCAAAATGCTCAGCTCTTGGTCCCCCTCCCGCCCTCAGTGGGTGGACACCAAGAAAGTACCCCTTCGGGAGGTACGGGAATTCCGCCCCGCTGCTGGGTTGACTACAGTGCCGTGCGAAGGCGGGCTCTCATTCGGGCTCTCATTCGAGTGGTAATGTGTGATTTCAGCCGCCTTGGCCTGGCCACCCCGTATCCACCCTCTCGATGAGTTGAACAGATATTTTATTCACGTAGTTGAAATGTGCCTGGACTGTGACTGAGAATAACGGAAGGCGGGCGACACCGGGGCACCGCGCAGTTGCCTTCAACGCGGTAATTGTCCCGAAAGTAGGGACCGCCAAGGAGGTCCCTTCATGCAGGGCCAGTTAGGGTAGTCTCGGAACACCTTTAAAGTATCTGCCCTTGTCGGATACAATACGTAAGTTTCGGCAGCGCGGGGGAGACCGGGGCAGGCGAGATGCGGCAGTGAAAGCCGCAGGTTGAGTGAACGCCCTTGAAGAATCTTTGTGTCGACCAAATTAGGGAGGAACACGGCAAGCGGTCATGATCTAAAACCTGGTTGCTATGTTCACAATTTCATCAGGCACGATGGAAGGTTATGGTAATGGAATGCTAGTGTCCAACGTTGGAGACAACAATTCACCCAAGCAAGCGCAATCCGCCGCGAGGAAACGACCAGCAGACTGAACACTCAAACGCCTCTTCTGTCCTCAAAAGTTCACCCCTGGACCCTGAGACCATGCGGAAATAGGGTGCGGGTCATGCGTTCCGCCCGAGAAGAAGCACCTCTCCTCCGATCGGCAATGACTCTAGATATCGGCGGCGGGGTAGGCCGGATGAGAGCTGGTCAGATGACGGTGGCGATCTGAGATCCGCGGGGAATGCCAGTCGCCGGTAATTCATTTGTGGTGGTGCAGATGGACAGGTACGCTGGGCAGTGATACGGACAGGGGACAGAGCTTTGCTGCAACGCTGATAGGCCGACGTGGCCGATGCGATTTGTCTCCACCAACGTGGAATTCGGCACGCGACCTTCCTGCGTCAGGACGATCGCTACTGATAAGCGTTGTTCAAGGTAGAGCGGGGGCGGGTGTGGCCGATGTCCGACAATGTGCGACCGGTATGGTGCGAACAAGCTCACCTTTCCTTCCGATGGAAGCAAACATGATTCAAAGGATCAAAATGGGCACGCGACATTCTGGCTCCGTGGCTGACTATGACGTCTTCTCTGGCTCCGCTCCGCACACGAACTGAAAGGAAGAAGCGCGCATCATGATGTTGGTGCACTGGCAGAAGAAGCGAACCGTTCGCCTCATATCCTTCTTGCCGGATGTGGAATACGCGCGCATGCGGGTCTTGTCGGCCGGAATGTCGCCTGACTGCTCTGCACCGGACCAGATGAACAGGCGTTTAAGGCACACTCCCCGTGTGCTCCTCGCTTTCTCCTGCTCCTTCTTTCCTCCCTGCTCCATCCCTTCCCCCATCTCTCCTGATCCAGCTCTCTCATGACGTCCCACGCCAGCGAGCCAATAATGGACACTGAGAAAGCAGCAATGGCTCGCGCCGACGAGGGCGCCGGCACTCGGCCGGCCTCCGGCTTTGCGCGGTGGTGGGCCGATCTCATGCCGAAGCCTATCCACGCAGGCAACAACATTACGGCCAGCCTCGCAGCGCTCCGGAGTGTGACCCTGCTCCAATGGGCGATGTTCTTCTCCGGGTGAGTTGCGCAGCGTCGTGCCAGCTTCCTTCCTTGCTGACGGACACACGGTGCAGCTTCATTGCGTGGACCATCGACGCGATCGACTTCTTCAGCGTCTCGCTCTCCGTTACTGCTCTCACGAAGCAGTTCAATCGCTCCACGAACGATATCACGACATCTATTACGCTCACGTTGCTCTTCCGGTCTCTCGGGGCGCTCATCTTTGGCATGATTTCCGACCGGTACGGCCGCAAGTGGCCTCTTATCGCCAACCTGCTGCTCTGCACGCTCTTCTCGCTCTGCACGGCCTTTGCGCTGGACTATGGCTCCTTCCTTGCCGTCCGATCCCTATTCGGTATTGCCATGGGCGGCATCTGGGGCTTGTCAGCCGCGACGGCGCTCGAGAACCTGCCCGTCCAAGTCCGTGGTCTCGCCAGCGGGGTGCTCCAGGAGGGGTACGCGGTCGGCTATCTCATCGCGGCAGTGATCAACCTCACGCTGGTGTCGTACGACCCCTTTGGCTGGCGCGCCCTCTTCTGGGTCGCGGCGGGCATCTCGGCCTTCGCGGCCGTCATCCGCCTCTGCCTGCCGGAGAGCCAGGTCTTCCTGCGCGCTCAGGCGGACAAGCGCGCAAAGGCAGAGCAGGGCGTCGTCGTGCACAACAAGACGAAGGTGTTCCTGCGCGAGACGCGGGCGATGCTCAGGGCGCACTGGCTGCGTTGCATATACGCGGTGCTGCTCATGACTGGTGAGTGCGCCCCGTACGAATGAGGGACCATGCTAACGCGCTGCATAGGCTTCAACTTCCTGTCGCATGGATCTCAAGGTGAATCTTTCCAATACGGCGAAGGGATTAGTCGCTGACGAGGAATTCAGATCTGTATCCGACGTATCTGCAGCAGACCAAGGGGTTCACGGCCCACAATGCGAACATTGCGACGATTATCGGCAACTGCGTGCGTATCCATGTCGATCACGTGAGGCAATGACTGACCAGCGATACAGGGCGCCGTCGCGTATGTACAGCACGCTGAACCGGGAGAGGCATTATATTGACCCAATTCTGCAGTGGCGGTATCTTTGCCGGGATCACCTCTCAGTTCCTCGGACGGCGCCTAACGATCGTCATTTTCACGCTATCAATCGGCGGTGCGTGTCTCGGATAATCGTGACCCTGAGTGAGGAAAGGGATTCTGATGCAGCCCAACACAGCGTTCATCCCGCTCTGGATCATCCCGAGCACCTTCTCGCCCCTGGCCGCGGGCGCGTTCTGCGTCCAGTTCGGAGTGCAGGGCGCGTGGGGGGTGATCCCCATCCACCTAGCCGAGATTTCTCCGCCTGCGTTCCGCGCGACCTTCCCGGGCGTGGCGTATCAATTGGGCAACGTGAGCACTTCTCTTCTCTCGGGGTATCCCCGGCGTTTGGAGCTTGCTCACGTGTGTTTGTTTCTTTGTTCGGGACGACAGATGGTCAGCAGCGCCAGCGCGCAGATCGAGGCGACCGGTGGGGAACATCAGCGCACGCTGCTGAACGGCGTTGATGCGCCTGATTATGCCAAGGCGAGCTTATCTCTTCCGACTCTATCTCTTCACACACACTCTTCACTCGCGCGGGAGAAGCATCCGAGCCTTCTCCCGACCTACCTTCCTTTCTCATCATTGGCGGGAAGATGCATGCTGACTGAACGCCACAACAGGTGCAAGGCATCTTCCTCGGAGTAGTCGCGGCTTTCGTGATATTCATGACGCTGATCGGCTCGGAGAACCATAGTTCCGGTGCGTCCAACTCTCTCTCCCTGACACACACACACTCTTCCCCTCTTCCTCCCGCTATCATTCTATGCCGTGCTATTATGGGAGCCCACGCTAACCCCCTCTCGCAGAATTCGAGAAGCATAAACTCGCCTTCGAGCTTGGCGGGGGGAGGGACGACGCGTTCGAAGAGTCTGAGCAGTCTGAAGCGGCGCAGGAGCAGCAGAGTGTAGGGAGCGTTACGCCTTTGCCTGCTGCTGGCGCTGAGGGCGCGGGGGAGAAGGAGGAGAACGAGCGTCGGGAGACTGTATGAGGCCCGGGAGAGTGTTTGAGCGCCTGGCCGGGAGAGTGGGAGTGGGAGCCGGGAGAGTGACTGTGTTGGAGTGCAGTGGGCGGGATCGGGAGTCTCATCCCGCGAGAAAGAGTTGATGACTGAGGGATGACTAATGAGATAATGTGCTTTATTATGCGCAAAGGATTGAATTGAGCTGGTTATGACGAACGAGCATTACCGAGCGAGCGTGTGGCGACGGCCGCCTGTACTATCACAATGTGCATTCGCACTAGAGCACGCTGATGGGCCGGAACCCTCGGAGGAAAGCCCAAAGCCGCCCACACCCTCCGGACCAATAGGCACCCAGCCTTGCGCGCATGGACCGGGAGCGGATGCGTTACCCCGCACTTTTGTGGCGGGGGTGGATTGCGACAGGACAGGATGGGATCGTTTGGGGGTCCAATCGGCTCCCCGCCCGGTGGAGCGGCGCGGGCCGATCTCCGGGAGAGTGGGGCGGGCCAACCGGGTGCAGTGCCCAGTTGCCCAGTGCAGGCCAGGGCGGTAAGGGTGCATGCCACGCCGCTGTGCTTCCTTCCTCCGGGGAAGACAGCACCCACTGGCCCACTCACTACTGGCAAAAAGCACCGAGGCGCGACCAATATTCACCCTTGCCAGCCCGGGCCAGAGAGAGTGGGTGTGGCGAATACATCTAAGGGAGAAATAGGATGGCAGATGGCACTCTCCCGGCAGCGCACTCCTCTCCCGGCAAGCCCACACACTCCCGACCGCCGGCCGAACTCCCGGGACCACTGCCTGCGCTCCAGTCCAGTACAGGAAAGTGACAGTACGGTATATACCCCCCCACCCGCGTGCGGTAACTCTCTTTACCCTCAGCCCTCAGCCAGCGACGGACGCCCTTCTTGCCTGCCTTGACTCACTCGAGCGAGCTCATCCCCGCCGCTGTTCCTGTTCCTCCTGACAGCACCCCTCCCTCCTCACTCCACCCGCCCACCTGCCCTCCATCCCCTTCCCGCATCCCGCCCTCCCCTCACCCTCTCACCCCCCCACGACAGCCAGAAGATGCCACTACACCGCCGTGCCCTGCACGCCCTGCGCAGCACCCGACGCACGCCCCACTCCCACTCCCCCAGCACCTCCTCC